ACCAGTCTCTGTGGCTGGCATCTTCAGAGGACAGCAATCTGTGCTCTGGTGTAGTTGGCTTGGGAGTGGAGTATTTATGGATGTGAGATGGGCTTTTGTCCTTTTTTGTAGATGGGTGATTAGTGTGTCGTGGGTGCATTGTTGTGATGAGAGATTATCTGTCACTGTGGTTGATGGCTGTAATTAGCTGGTCTTTTGTGTGTAATGATCACCAGTCCTTGTGGCTGGGTAGAATTCGTTGACCTTTTGCACGCTGTATTTTTGAGAGCTGGGAGCCAAATTTTGCTGAGTTTCAAACTTGTTTGTTTAAGTTCTCCTGGTGCTTGTGGATTTCAATGGCTTCCCTGTGCAGTCTGATGTAATGATTGCTGTCGTTGTCCAGTATTTCGGTATTTTGAAATAGAATTTCATGCCCAATTTGTTTTAGGGCATGTTCAGCTACTGCAGATTTTTCTGGTTGTTTTAGGCTGCAGTGTCTCTCGTGTTCTTTGATTCTGGTGTGGATGCTTCGTTTTGTGGTCAGTTGTGCTCAATTGATGGTCTGCATGGCTAAGTCTCTTGACCTTGAAATCCATAGGCCCATGACTGAACCAACAGATCATCTCCACAATTCCATCTCAAAGGATACTACAACAGCAGTGCATATTTCCATGCTGCTGTCTCTTCTCAACACAGTTAGATTGTCCTGGACCAAACCAGTGTCCTCTCACTCGGTGTAAAAGCATATTGACACCCTCTATCGGTACATGACCCTGGTGTTGTCTTCTTGCAAAAACAGCCAGCCCCCAATTCCATATTCATCGAAGCATCACAGTCTTCCTCTCGACACAGACAAGTCTTGATAATAAAGATAGCTAATAAAGATAGCAGGCGCATTGACTCTATGGGCAGATGGTTATACTCCTCCCCTGCCTTCACCATGAGGGTTGCCAATTAACAAGGGGCTATGGGCTCCTATCAACGCTTTCTGTGGGACAACATGTCTATCTTCATAGATGCCCTCCCCAAAGACAAGAGGATGCTAGCTCAAACTTTCCAGCAAGAAGGTTTCTCTCTCTCAAAACAACAAATGCTATCAGCCAGACACAAAGTCAACACCACTTCAAAATTCATGGCTACCTCAGTAGCACTGTGTCCTTTTTTCCTGGCTCAGAACCACTGGCCTTGCAAAAGATGCGCTTGGGTCCATTGAGGACTTCCCATTTGATGGTGTAGGCTTATTTAATGCTGAGACGGATTACATCCTTGAAATTGTCCAGAAAAAGAGAAAAACTGCCTGACGTTGGGAAGTCTACCCAAACACATACCAGCATCGCCCTTACAACTCTTACCAAAGGTTCGAACATGAACCTCAACGGCAACCATCCTACATGGCTTATTACAAACCCTGCAAAGCTAAACTTCGTCAACTGCAACCAGGCGCAACGACTGCATCACATTTTATGTCCAACCAGCAGAGATCCTCACACATTCTCAAACCCTCCCTCCCAACCTGTGGAAATACTTACCTGTTTGGGAAAACATCACCATGGTTGCTTGGGTCCTCTCCATTGTAAGAAACAGTAAGAACCACATAGAAAAGCTTACATGTATAAATGGAAATTCTCTACTATCATTCTATACCGTCACACCTCCATCATAAACCCTGCAGGATGAAATTCAAACGCTGTTACTCAAAGACGCAATAGAACCAATACCACCACATCAGACAAACAAGGGTTTTTTCTCTCGCTATTTCACAGTTCCCAAAAAAGACGGAGGCCTCCCTCTCATCCTCGATCTCAGGGAATTAAATCAATACATCATCACCGCCAAATTCTGTATGGTTACCCTTGAGTCTGTCCTCCCACTGCTCTGCAAAAAAGACTGGTTTGCAGTCATAGATCTCAAGGTTTGCAGTCATAGATCTTCCACATGTCTGTTCGTCCTTCACACAGACCCTTCCTACGCTTCCAACTCAGAACCCAAGCCTATCAACCCAATTCAAAAGGGTCTTATTTGGACTTGCCATGGCTCCCAGGGTTTTCACCAAATGCATGGCTCCTGTGGCAGCATACCTGAGGCTTCAAAAAAATTCACATTTTTCCATCCATCAACGACTAGCTCTTTGTAGCTTGCTCCTGTCAAAAAGCACAAAGAGACATCTCTTTCACCTTGTCTCTCCTTCAGGATCTCAGCCTCAGAGTTAACCTACAAAATTCCAAATTAAAACCTACAAGACTAGTTCATTATATGGGAGCGGTTCTAGACTCAAAACACATGCATTTTTCCTAACAGACAAACGTCACAATTTGGTGTCCTTACTTTGCGCCTTTACCCCTCATGTGATTGTAACTGCGCTGACTGTTCAGCGTGTCTTAGGCACCATGGCTTCCATGACTTCATGTCCACCTCAAAATGAGGTCACTTCAAGAATGGTTTCTTGCCTTATGTAACCCGATGACAGATCCACCACACACCCTGTTGCAAGTCACTCTAGAACTCACCTCCCAACTCACATGGTGGCATTCCACTTCGAACTTGATGATGGGGTTACCTTTTCAACAACTGTGCCCACAAATCCAGTTTATCACAGATGCAAGCCTCACTGGCTGGGGTGCACACTGTCAATCCCTACAGATTCATGCCCAGTGGTCACAAAGAGAGAAGTTGTTCCGTATCAACCAGTTAGAACTTCTAGCAGTAATAAAAGCTTGCAAGGCCTTCAGAAATCATCTTACAGGCAAGATGGTTCAAATAGCCACGGACAGCACTACCACGATGTATTACATCTTCAAGCAGGGAGGCACTCACTCCCCAAGCCTTCTTTATCTTGTAGTTGACCTGTGGAAATGGTGTCTTTCCCATCAAATTTTCCTCGTGACAATACACATAGCCAGCCTAGCCAACAAACACACAGGTGTCCTCAGTCGCAAGGAATCCCAAACTCATGAATGGAAACTGGATCGATCCATTTTTCTCTCCCTCTGCAAATGTTGGGGCACACCCTTCATCAACCTCTTTGCCTCCCGAAAGAACCAGAAGTGCAAACGTTACTGTTCCCATGCAGGAGATGGCAAGAAGTCCCACAGAGGTGCATTAGTGGGCCGCTAGCACAAGGCCCTCAATTAAATATTTCCACCATTCCTGCTCATTCAGAAAGTTGCAGTCTGTCTTCAACAGGAAAAGACCTGTTGAAGACCTATCCTCGTAGCCCCGTGGTATCCACGACAGCCATGGTTCCCAGTTTTCCACCAGCTGTCATTCAACATTAATCACCTGCCCTGCCTGCCTCACCTGCTTACACAACACGAAGGTAAAATTCTCCACCCAGATCTCCCTGCCCTTTACCTGGCAGTGTGGAGGATTCTGCCAACTTGATGAATGTCCTTCATCAAGCAAAGAAACCTTCAACCAGAAAAGCTTACATGTATAAATGGAAATAGTTTTAGTCATTTACCACAGCATTATCACTACCTTCCGTGACGGAGTGAGCGCCCGTCACTTGTCCCAGCTCCCGCCAACCTAACAGTTCGAAAGCATGCAAATGCAAGTAGATTAATAGGGGCCACCTCGGTGGGAAGGTAACGGCGTTCCGTGTCTAAGTCGCACTGGCCATGTGACCACGGAAGATTGTCTTTGCACAAAACGCTGGCTCTATGACTTGGAAACGGGGATGAGCACCGCCCCCTAGAGTCGAACACGACTGGACAAAAATTGTCAAGGAGAACCTTTACCTTTACCTATCACTATCTTCAACTTACCACAGTTCTTTGTGGGGTTTTTTATTACAGCTGAAAATGAAGGGCCTTTCCCTTTCATCTCTAAAGGTCTACCTTTCTGCAGTTGTTGCTTATCACCCTCCAACTTCTTCAGCAGCTTTTTCAGACACCCCACTCTAAAATGCTTCCTCAAAGGACTGTCACACATGTATTCTGAGGTACATCCACCACCACCTCAATGGTCACTGACTTTAGTCCTTCAGCGACTTACAAGGACCCCATTTGAGCCCCTTGCATCAACTGATCTCAGGTTACTCACCTTTAAAATGGTGTTCCTTGTAGCCATTAGATCAACACAACGTGCTAGTGAGTTGGCAGCCTTAAGATCTGACTACCCTTATCTTCAGTTTTACCCAGATAAGGTTAAACTCTTTGTAGATATTTTCCCGAAGTGTCTCCAAGTTCCACTTATTCCAAACCTTTGGTCCTTCCGTCTTCCCATCTCCATCTACTCAAGAAAAAAATTCCTCCATACTTTGGATGTGAGAAGGGCTCTTGCCTCTTACATAGCCCGCACGCAGCCCGTCAGATGTTTAGCTCAACCTTTTGTCAGCTATCAACTTCCTGATAAAGGTCTTCGAGTCACCTAGTAGAGGATATCCAAATGGGTTGCTTCCACAATTCAGCTCACTTATCAGCTTGCTTGCTCTACTAGGACGTTGGAGACATCTATGGCCTTTCTTTATGGCATTCCTCTATCAGACATCTGTGCCTCTGCCATATGGTCACAGCCATCCACATTTAACCATTACAGGTTGGACATTCGGCAGAAATCTGATGCTGGTTTTGAATGTGCTGTGTTGGCATCTACCTTGGTGTGACACCCTCTGTCTGGGTAAGACAGCCTGTTAGTCACCCACAGTGTAATTCATAGAGGCCACGAAGAAGAAGCACAGGTTACCACCTGTAATTGCAGTCAAGTGGACCTCTGTGATTCACACATCTTGACCCGGCCTCCCCTCTGCCATGCCCTATTTGCTTTATGAGGCGGTTGACCTAACTGAAGTGAGAGCCTTGGCACCAAGGGGGGAGGGTCTGCACGTATGTATCTTTTTGCTACCACAGAAACTCTATAAAATCCTGATGAGGCTCTGCATATGTGCAGATTACCCACAGTATGAATCACAGAGGTCCACTCGAAGAACTACAATTACAGGTAGGTAACCTGTCATTACATGTCTGAGATGGACAATACGGCTAGAATTGTATCAAATAATTCCTCTCTTCCTTTTTCTATAGGCGCCACCGTTGCCCTCATCTCCTAACCAGGCCGTTTGCCATGAATGAGAAGCCATGCCTCCTTTCTGAATATACAGATAAATATCCCATTTACACCAATGTTAAACCCAGGGATTCCTGCAAACCGAAAATAGATTACAAAAAGCAACCAGTACCTATGGAAGGTATTTCAACTACCAGGTAAGGATAAAAGAGGGATATCAATGTTCCAAGAAACATTAATACATGGAAAATATATGTTATGCACTGACTCATCCTTTGCGAGATGGAATAGGGTCATTGGATTTGGTATGTAGGGCATAACAAGGAGAATGAGGGACATAGGAAAGAACAACACCATCACCATGCAAAATGAGAGGAAGGAAAGTGTCTAGAACATTATACTTAGGCAAAACTGTAGAAATGTAAATCTTGAGATGTTCTTGGACTACAGCTCCCAGAAATCCTGGTCAGTACACCAAGTGGTGAAAGCCTCTGGGAGTTTAATATCTGGTGCCCCTAGCTTGGGAAGCACTGATCTAGAGAAAGTCAGTTCTCTCAAGAACTGGAGCTACAAATGCAAGTTCAGGTGGGTCTCAGGACTGAAAGGAGCCAGAGGAAGGAAGAAAGCAAATAAAAATGGGGAACTCACTAATCAATCCGCAGCCCATCATGTTCACTGCAAGCTATGCTTCAAATCATATCTCAGCAAAAAAAAAGCATCCTTCCTATTCAGCTCTGCAACATAACCATGCTTAGATCCCAGTACATTGCAAACAATACTTTTTATTGATGTTTTTGTTCACAGGAGAGATTATATTCCTCATGAAGTATCACCAAATAAGCAGAGACCTCCTGAAAAATATGTCAAGAAGGATGAAAATATGGACCTGTTGTCCACATATAAACAAGATTATAATCCTCACCCCATTACTCGTGTGCTTCCTTGTTTACCTCAGGAACGGCACATTTCCTCTGATAAGATGACTACAAAACCAACATACAAGAGTAAGTGTTTTATGAGAGGATATATTTCATTATACCTTTCTTCTTTTATTTTTAAGGTGGAATTTTTACAGCCTTTCCTTATGACAGAATCACAAATCTGAACCTTGTAGCTGGAATAACATACTTGGGTAGCTTCTTACATTCTAGTATTAATAAGATTTATTAGGTGAAGATTTATTCTGGGAATGCGTCCACAACTGACAAAACAAAAAACAATGGTGAACAGCCTGGAAATGTTCAGTAGACATTCCAGTCCCCAAGAATGGACATACCACTTTTAGCATCAAGTTTCCTCAGCCACCAGACTGGCTCCAAAATTCTTTTTACCATAGGCAAATCAAGAATGAGATTGGCTTTACAACTATTAAGAAAGTTTCATTTTCTTTTAAACAAGAACAGCTCTGCTGCTTATACTTGAGGATATTACTGTATAATATACTGTAGAGCATTTGCAATTCGACAAAAGGACCTGAGAACAGTCCTCCTTCTCCAAATTAAATGTGTAATATATCTTCCGTCATATTTTAGCTTTGTGAACTGCCATGAATGGGACTGTACCATTGGTTGGCAATGTGAAATCTATCTGCACATGAACATCTATCTGCACAAAATACTTTAAGTAAACAGAATAAGGTTTTCTGGTATTTTATGAATGCTAATTAAAGCTCAACTTCATTTGGTTGCAGTTTGCAAGACTGCAAGACTTGCAGTTTGCAAGACCTTTTGCAAGACTGCATGCACATGGAAATAATCTTTATTTCTTGGTCCCATTATTGTTTTACATCTTTTATTGATTTATTTCATAAATTCTATAAAACAGCTCGAAATCTGTGTCTAACCAATGCCCCTCTCAGACCCACGGACGTAACTCTGCATGAGAATTACAGAATACCTTAATCTCTTGATCCCTTCTTGTTACCGTTATATTAAATAGTTTGGTTCTGCCTCTCAGCTGCCTGCATAAATGTTGTTGATTTCTCTCTTAGCCAGATTCTCAGTGTAGTCTACATCAGTGGTTCTTAACCTTTGTTACTTGGATGCTTTTGAACTGCAACTCCCAGAAACCCCAGTCAGGACAGCTGGTGGTGAAGGCTTCTGGGAGTTGCAGCCCAAAACTCCTGAGTAACCCAAGGTTAAGAACCAGTGGTCTACATGATTTTCAGTCTGCCTATTGTGAGTGACATCGTTGTCCTAAAAATAATTAAAAAGTTATAAAAGCAGTTGGTAAAATGAGGGACTTTCTTACGATACTGATAGTCCAGAAAAAGCAAGACCAGACATACCAAGATAACCAGAGAGTGAAAAAGTAATTTTTTCTGGGGGTGGGTGGAATTCCAACTCTCGGAATCCCATGGTGGCTGGGATAAATAATATAAGCCTTACACAATGAACATGCTTATAATTGATCTAGACAAAGGTAGATACACTTTTGCCTGTATTTTAAGAATGGCATCTGTCAACAGAAATTTTGTCTGTCTTGCATGTCCAAATCTCTTCACAGACTGAAACAGATTTCAGAGCCCAGAGAGAAAGAGAGGGGTAGTAGTTCAATTTTACTAGCAGAACTATGCTCATAGCATTATGGATGTTTCTCTAACTCTGGAACGTTAAGGGACAGAGCAGTTACCAACTACCACAATTAATGTCTTTAAAGTGTCTCATTCTTCAGCATGGTCTCTGTGAATCACACATTTGGGTTAAATCAGCCCTTGCGCTGGAACTTCGGAACCTTCTAGAGCTTTTCTGAAAAAGATACAAAGTTTAGGTTGCCCCTAGTACACATGCTCCATTCTCTCCCCGCCTCCAGTTCCTTTTTTTTCCGCCATTGTGGGCGGAACGTTTCAGACGGAGCTCTCTATTTGCAATCATTTTGGCTTAATTTTGGACTGTATTTTTGGATATTCTTACTTCTATTGCCCCTTGGACTGTTTCGACTACTCTTTCGCTTGACGGACTTTGACTCTTGTTTGACCAGTTTTTCCCACGCTTGTGGATTGCCTGATTGCCTGATTGTCAGGCTGATTGCCTCAGCGGGAAGCGCCATTATCACCTCGGCGGAGGCCTCGTTATCCACTTCTCTCCTGATTACCGTGAGAATTTAGGCTCCTACAGCCTTTTCTTTACTGTTTTATGTCCCCCTCAGGCCCTTTCAGTAAATGTAAGAAGTGCTCAAGAAAGATACCATTTTATGATAAGCATGATCTTTGTTTATTTTGCCTAAGAGACGCGCACAATACTTCTACTTGCCGCCATTGTAAAGAATTTACTAAGGCTGCTCTAAAAGCGTGCCAACAGATACTTAAATTATATCTTTGGGAAAAGACTCTGTTTTCTACTCAGCCTTCAGAAATGGAGACTTCCTCTAACCCGTCAGGCACTCCACGTTCTGAGGCGACTGGGTCTCTTCCCTCTACATCTACTTCCAAGTTGTCTAAACCACCTAAGAAAACCACCTCAGGTCCTTCCAAAAAGGCTCCTACGTCTAAGGGGTCTGCTTCTAAAGATGTGGCAAAAGCTAAAAAGCAGGCTGGACAGCCTTAGAAGTCCAAGGCTAAAGAGATCACCTCTCTTCCACCTGTTACACCTTCAGTGCCTTCACCAATTTTGGAGTATTCCTCAAGGGACCATGAATCCCTCTCTGAAGCGGCTCCATCTCTGCCACTTTCACAGCAACCTGAGGCACCGCTTGCACCTGGGCACTCACCCAATCCGGATAAAGTTGAAGACACTCTATTATCCAGCCCTCATTCTGCCCATCTTGGCCCCGCATCTGCCAGCCGGGTACTGAAACTCTGCATTCCCCATCTTGCTCTCCGAGGAGAGATCTCCCTCCTTGCAAGAAAGGGTCGAAGAGGCGGCATTCTTCCTCCGATCGACGTCGTGATTCTGACGTGGAGGGCTCCCGACATCATAAGAGACACAGGCATCAACAATTTGGACGCAGTCGGTCAGGACGAAGGACAAAGCATCGGCGTCGACATTATGACAGTGATTCGACGTAGTCCTCCCAGTTACTGCATGCACAGAAGGAGGCGCTATTCCTCTTCTTCGACCTCAAGTTCTTCACCTCATCAACGTTGACAGGCCCATAATACTCAACTTGTTTTGGATATGAAGGCTTCTAAAAAGATTGCTTCCACCACGACGTCGAGGGTCAAGGCTACCCAGCAACCTGCTCAGCCTTCCTTAGCTGAGATTGCTGTGCATAGAGTGCCATCGGAGGAGGATGACCAGATGTGTGAGGTGTCTTCCGATCAAGATGAAGAGGTGTTCTCCCCTTTGCAAGCCTAGTCACCAGTGGAGGCGGACTCCTTCGAGTCAGACACCGGGAATCCCCATCCATCCTCCCCTACTGAGGACTTCTCATCTTATTCACAGATGGTGACTTGAATGGCTAGCGTTTTGAAGATGCAAACGCAACTCCCTCCTCCTCCTACAGACGATCCCATTTTTGGGGACACCGACAGAGAGTCTTCTCAGCCACTGAGCCTCAACTACATTTCCCAATTATTCAATCTAATTATGGATCTTGTTCTCAACCAGCTTACCCCTCTTTCTGTCTCTAGGAGAACTGAGAACATGTACAGAGTTCATGGAGATGAAGTCAACTTCTTGTCTAAGCATCCCGCTCCCAACTCTGTCATCGTCCATGCTAATGCATCTAAGGCCTCAGGGTGGCCACATGTCACTCCAACCAATAAGGAGTGCAGAAAAATGGATGTGTTAGGGAGGAAACTTTACAATTTCCAATCTTTCCTACTGAAGATATGTAATTATCAGGCAGCTATGGGAGCATACCAGAAACATCTCTGGAATAAAGTACTTCCAGCGCTCCAAACTACTCCTGAAGATATTAGACAGGAATGTTTGAATGCTCATGCTGAGGCTATGACGTTGTCCAAGCACCAATGTTTAAGTGGCACGACATGCCACAGACGTTGCAGCTAAGTCTTTAAACTCTGCCATAACCCTTCGATGCCACGCCTGGCTCAGGGCATCTGGCATTGTTGAGGATGTGAAAAAGCAAATCGAAGAGCAGGCTTTTGACACAAAAGGTTTATTTAATGAAAAGACGAGTCTCTCAAGTCCATACATGAAAGTAAGAAGACTGCTAAATCTTACACCATTCACTAACACCCTCGTTTTCAAAAACAACAATGGCAAAGGCAGTTTCCTCAGCAGCAATATCAGCAACAAGCCTCTCAAGGCTACCGGCCTTTCAGGAGCTCTCAGGGCAGGTCTTCTCAACAATCTTCTACTGCTCCATCCTATAAACAACAAACATCACACAAGCGTCAATCCTATCGCCCGCCTGTCAAGAAGTCTAAGCAGTACCTTTGACTGCATCAAACATCTACCTCACGGCCATCACACATGTCTTGCCCCATTTTACCACAATTGGCAAAGGATATCACAGGACAGTTGGGTTCTGAACATCATCAAATTCGGCTACCGGCTAGAGTTTTTAGAACGTCCTCCTCTAGGTTTTCTGCGAATGACAACATCCAATCCCACCCTAGAAGAGGAGGTTCTCACTCTACTTCAAAAGAATGCCATACAGTGGGTCCCTCTTCAAGACATTCTCAGGGGTTTTTACTCCCGATACTTCACTGTTCCAAAGAAGGACGGAGGCCTCCGGTCCATACTAGATCTAAGGAACCTCAACACTTACCTTCAGCCACGCCGATTCCGGATGGTCACCCTGGAGTCCATCGTCCACCTGTTGAAAAAGGGAGATGAGTTTGTGGTCATACACCTGAAGGACGCATACTTCCATGTCACCATACACCATCATCACAGGAAGTATCTGCGGTTCATAATCAACAACAAGGTCTACCAGTATGCGGCCTTACCATGCGGCTTAGCAACGGCTCCACGCACGTTTACTAAGTGCATGGCCCCAGTGGCTGCATTTCTATGTCTACAGGGGGGGAAAGTATGCCCGTACATCAACGATTGGCTCGTAGTGTCGCCATCCAGACAGAAAGCCATTCAGGACACCAAATTCACCCTTCACGCTCTACAGAGTCTAGGTCACCATAAATTTCGAGAAATCCACCCTAAAGCCTTCTCAAGTTATGAGTTACATAGGAGCAACGCTCAACTCCAAAAGGCCAAGACTCTTCCTTCCTCCATAGCGCATCCACAAGTTACAGACTGCTCTTCAAAAGTTTCAACCACACTCACTAGTGTCAGCAGATCATGCACAACCTCTGCTGGGGCTCATGGCCTCAACTACAGCTTCCTTGCCACACGCCAGGCTAAAGATGCAGTCGCTACAGGCGTGGTTTCTCCATCATTTCGACCTGATGTCAGAGGATCCCAGGAAGAAGATCCTAGTCACCCCAGAGCTGGCGAAACAACTACAGTGGGTGGGGGTTTTGGCCTCATCTGCTCACGAGCCCCACAGGATGGGGAGCTCATTGCAACGGTCACATCGTCAAAGAGGTCTCCACATCAACCATTTGGAGATGCTAGCAGTGATCAAGTCGTTTAGAGCCTTCCTCCCGCTGATACAGGGTTGTGGTGTACACGTTGTGACAGACAACACCACGACCTTGTACTACATCAACAAGCAGGGCAGGACGAGATCATTGTCTCTTCTCTACCTCGCCGTGCACCTGTGGGAGTGGTGCTGCCACAATCACATCTATCCAGTGGCAATCCACATATCGACCACAGAGAACCAACTGGCAGACGAGCTGAGGTGACGGAAGGGACAGTCCCACGAATGGGAGCTGGACGACAAGGTATTTCAGATGCTGTGCAGACAATGGGGACAACCGTCCATCAACATGTTCGCTTCACACACGAACAGGAAGTGCAGGAGATATGCATCTCGAGCAGGAAGAGGTCCCGGGTCCCAGGGAGATGCCTTTATGATACCATGGTGAGAACATCTTATCTACCTGTTCCCGCCGATCCCTCTAATCCAGAGGATCAGACACCAGAGGTCGTCGGTGATACTCATAGCACCCTTTTGGCCGCGTCAACCATGGTTCTCTACTCTGGAGGAGCTGGCCATCGACGTGTTCAAACTTCCACTTCTGCCACATCTGCTAATGCAAGATTCAGGGAATATCCTACATCCAGAGTTGAACCTCCACCTAGCTGCGTGGAGGATCTGCCTGAAATCAAAGCCAAGAAACCATCTACTATCCTCTTGTACAAATACAAGTGGAATAATTTCCTTCGTTTTGCCACTGCCAGGAACCTGCAGACTTCTCCAGTTTCCCTACAGACTTTGCTTCTGTATCTCAAACATCTTTTTGATCTCGGCCTTACCTTGTCAACTCTCAAGGTGTATATTTCTGCTATAGTCTCTTTCCAGCCCAGAGACTCAGAATCTTCACGTCTCTTTTCTCATCCTACATTAAAAGCATTCCTAAAAGGACTGATTAATATTCGCCCACCTACAAGACCTCCAGTAACTCAGTGGTCCCTTACACTGGTTCTCCAATCATTCATGAAGCATCCATTTGAACTTATGGCTTCGTGTGATGTAACGTTTCTTTCCTTAAAGGCTCTTTTTCTAGTTGCATTTACGTCTGCTAGAAGAATAAGTGAGTTGGCAGCCTTAAGGTCTGATCCTCCTTGCAGTTCTATAAGGACAAAGTTATGTTGTTTCCAGATGTTTCGTTCCTGCCTAAAGTGGTTACAGACTTTCACCTCAATCACCCTATTTCGTTACCTACCTTGTTTTCTGATCCTTCCTCGGACGTTGAAAAGATGCTCCATTCTCTGGATGTTAGAAGGGCGTTAGCATACTATATTTCCAGGACAAAGGACTTTCGGAAAGCTGAAGACTTTTCCTGTGCTTCTTTGGACCACACAAGGGTTGTCCAGCGTCATCTTCTACCTTGTCACAGTGGCTTGTCTCCACTATCACTCTTGCCTACCAACTTGCAAGTAAAGCTGTGCCTGAAGGTCTTAAAGGACATTCCACAAGGTCCATGGCAACATCTACTGCGTTACTATGTGGTGTGGACATTCCAGACATCTGCAAGGCAGCAACATGTTCCAGAGTGTCCACGTTTGTCACCCACTATAAGTTGGACCTTCGGGCAAAGAGGGAGACGAGTTTTGGAAGGGCTGTCTTGACATCTGTCCTGCAGTGATGGCCCTCCTTCCGGTAAGTTAGCTTGGCAGTCACCCAAATGTGTGATTCACAGAGACCACACTGAAGAAAGAAAGGTTACTTACCTGTAACCATGGGTCTTCAAGTGGATCTCTGTGAATTCACACATTCCCACCCAGCCTCCCCACTATCCGTCATTGCTTCTTTTAGGATGAGCTCTTGCTCTAGCAATGGCGGATAAATGGAACTGGAGGCGGGGAAGGAATGGAGCATGCGTACTAGGGGCAACCTAAACATTGTATCTTTTTTAGAAAAACACTAGAAGGTTCCGAAGTTCCAGCGCAGGCGCTGATTTAACCCAAATGTGTGAATTCACAGAGATCCACTTGAAGAACCATGGTTACAGGTAAGTAACCTTTCTATTTCCTCCCATACATAATACTATTGTTCACTTACACAGCAGAAGGGCAAATTTTATAACTTGAAGCAGCAAATCCCAGTAGTTCTTGGATCCTTGGTTGTGTGCCAAACCACCTGAAGAATCCGTGGGTAATTTGGTTCAACCGTGAGTTTTTCCCAGTTGAACTTATATTAATTCCACCTTGTGGTTTAGTTGGGTTCACTCATAAAATTCTTTTAATACCCTGACTAATGAATTATGAATTAAATTGTATAAAATGGTAATATATAATTATTTATATTCTACAATATATTTCAGGTGATTATGTGGAATGGAACCAACCTAAAAGGCATATGATAAAGCCCGATAATGCTTACCATCCATCAGATCAAAAGTTTGACCACAGGACCACTAACCAGGACAACTACCTCTACATGGGACCTGTAATAACTAAGAGCTACAAGCCCTTCCAAGCACCTCAGATCCCAAACATACCCTTAGAAGGCATGACCAATTATAAACAGAATTATGTGGCCTATCCCATGCCAAAACGCTACATCCATGAACGTGAGCCATTTAAGCCCAATGATGTCCCATTTGAAGGTCTTACCACCCACAGTCTATCGTACAAAGGTTTAGCAGGAGAGCCAGCAAAGTCAATGAAACCATCATTTATAAGGCCAAATGTGGACAAATTTGTTGGCAGCACTGAATTTCAGGAAAAATACCTAGCATGGCCAACACCTACTACCGTTGTCAGAAAATGTGAGGTCTACAAGCCACCTAAGGAGAAGATGGACCTCAAGACTGTGGCACAGCTTCACTATGTAGACCCCCATGGGCGTCCAGCAATCTCATGTAAACCACTATCCCATGTTCCACAAAGCACAGAGCCTTTCAATTCCCACTCCACGATGAAAGAAGATTACAAACCATGGCAGTGTGCAAGGCCCAAGGCCATCATTCCTCACCCAGAGATCAGATTGCCAGCTGAGCCAATGGACACTCTGACTACTTTCCAGGCACATTATGTCCCTCCCCCACTTTCTTTTACTAAGATCTTCAGGCCACAGAATCCACCATCTAGACCTCATGTGCCGTTTAATGGTGAAACCACCTATGGCAAAAGCTATACTCTGAAGGATTTTTGTATATGTCCTGCCTCTTACAAAGAACCACCAGGCTACATATTTGAGAAGGTAGATGAAAATGGGCATAGGCAGTTTCGACCTGCTACAGTAGCCCAGTTGCAACGCACATCCAGTTCAAAAATTTCCAGTCGTAGGGGGCAGCCCTTCTACTGAAAGACCCCATCAAACGTCTCTCAAAACCACCTAAAAGTCTAAACCATTTTCCAAAATTCTGCTAATTCAATTAAAAATATGAGTTGAATGGCCATTTCCAGATGACAGAATGGAATAAATAAGAAAAATATAGTGAAATAGCTCTCCTGGTTTCCTGATTAACTGCTATTGTCAGGGCTGCCATTTGACAGTTGGATTTAGCTACCATCAGAGAATTAACATGTATAGTATTATGTATAGTATGCATTCATAATGATAGCTGCTTTTCGATTTGAAGTGCAGATGAAGATTTTATATGACTTACTACCAAAAAAGCAGCTCAGAAAAACATTTTCTGAACCAAATCTGCAAGCCCCACAGGAGCTAATTTTATGTATCAATTTAAGCTGTTGCCCATTTAGGACTTTTTCAGATAGCAAAATACTTAAAATCAACTCGCCATCGAGGGCCAGGCTCCTGAATTTAGTTTTGAGGTGGTTCTACAAGAGGAGCAAGAAGCATTGAATATTCTGAAAGATGCTAGTGAACAAAAACAACTCAGAAATTACCCACAGAACTTTTTGTGATGTTTATTACAAGGTAGTAGCCACAACCCTGTGAAGCCGGGTCACAAGCGATAGGAGTTTTTTGGATCACACTCACATTGGACACTTCTAAGAATAGCTGCTTCTTATTTTCCCTATTCTGTATCTCCTGACATGGAAGGAAATGTTATATAACAAAAAACTATTTAGCAAAATAAATCATGGAAACTGCTCTCCTGCTGGAACAAATTCAGTGGGTTTCCACATCTGTGAAATGGAGCTTGGAATATTTTTTTAAAAGGAAGATTCCAGTATTAATTTTCAAATAAAATCATAGTGTGTTATTGCTTAACTGCATTTTTAAAGTTTGCTTTTATATTAAAAAAGAACTCCAATACATATTTTCTAATATTCTTTTTTCCATTGAGTTTTTCCATTGAAAAATATTACCATAATGCTCATGCTCATTTTTGTTATTAATACCTGAGGTCAGTGAGCTACGTAGAGCTAGAGGTTTATAGCTGGATTCCCCATCTTGTTAGAGCTAGTCTGTGTGGAGTAATTTTTGTTCATTTGCCCTCTGATTTTCTCAGTGTCTCTTCTTCAACAGAGGAACCGAACAATTTTGTCTTTACAAAAAAGTTGACATAACTCATGCAGCTGAGTCCTAATTTTTCCTTGAAACCATGAAATAACGGGAATAAGAGCACAGGTTTTGAATTTTAGATTAGTGCATCTTTTGAAGGGTTATTTTTAAAATAAACATACTATTAAATGTTCCATTCAGGCCATAGGCAGAACCAAGTAAAATAGTCTCTTTTTCCTAGAAAAAGCCTTTTTTTAGAAAATGAAAATAAGTAACTTAAGGATTTGAATAAGCATAGCAACAATCAAAATGGAGCTGAGCAATAGCAGCTGGGCAAAGAATCTGTTAGTACTGTACTTTTAGACTGGAATATTCCAGTGAAGATGTGGAACCTATGCTTGTAAACTATTGTGTGAATCGCACAATTTCACATCTTTTTTGTTATGGTGGTTTCCTTGTCTATAATTGCCGAGATGTGGATTAAACACCTTTGAGTGGGTTCAACTTTGGGAAAACCCCATTCCCTTGTTTGTTCCCCAAAAGGTGGAGACAGGCCTTCTTTGTAAACATTTCCTTTATTTTCAAACACCTGAGAACCATGAACAACAACAGTTGGATCAATGGTTCCCTCAGTTTCCCTGCATTCCACATAACAGTCCCTTAACTCAGGCATCGCAAGAGAGTTCACAATTGGGGAATTCACTCCAAACCATTCCCGATCTGTGGGTTTTCTCGTGGGCTTCCTCAGACTGGGACATATGGTACCGCAACAGGGGTGCTGATCCCACTCTCCCTCATTTCTGGATGCAACATCACCACTGGTTTGGCCCCCTTTTTCCATTGATCTTCCTTCTTGGGATAGACATATACCGTCAATTCCACTTGTTCTCCATCCCCCACCTGCATTGCCAATCCTTCCTTTCTTTGCCTTTTCAGCTCTTCTCCCTCTTTTCCTATCTTACTTCCCTCAGGTCTCATGTTGTGGTATTGCTGTCTCCTTTCTATTTCCTCTAGGGCACTTTCATTTTAACACACTCTCCTGTCCAGGGGACTTCCATTTCTAAGCAGCCTCATCCTAGAGGAATGTCTTCTTCCTTCACCGCCTTTCTTTTTTTCCTCCTTTTCTACCTCCCAGTCTAGTTCTCTTTTCTCTTCTTTCTCCTCCTCAGCCCCATTCACCAGATATCCCTCTACTATTGGCTCCTCCCCTTCTCACCCTTCTCTCGCTCTTCTTTCCCACGCTTTTTCACCACTACTCAGTTGGGCCACTGCTGGTATCAGGATTTACACTGTACCCTCTGTTGTGGGCGCTGGAGGGGACGGATCACACTCCTTTTTTCTGTTGGGAAGTGGTTCCTCCTCACAACGCCCTTTAACAATTTTATATCTGCCTCTTTGGAATTTGAACACAGAGGGCCCTGTCTAAGAAAAGATAACAGTAGTTCAGGAGAATGTATTTCCTTTTTTCTGTTAATAATTAATCCATTCACCACAAAACAAGAGAACATGGTAGCTGATTTATCCAGCTTGACATCTAGGGAGAGGGAAATCTAGGGAAATCATTGAGCCAAGGTACACGAAACCATGAACAACCTCCAATTTTTGTGCGGAGATGGTAATAGAGGAAGGTGAGTCGATGCCCTGGCTCATGACTTGTTTTTTCTTCAGGCTGATCCAAAGTCTTGGCAGGCCTTACTAAAACGATTCATAAGTTGTTGGAGGTTGTGATCGGGTTCTTCATGAGTCAGTGACGGTTCCCTCATTTTAGCGGGAATAAGAGACGGAGGCAGTTTTGAAAATCCAACAGGCTCAACTTTATTTACATCAACTTCTGATTCAACTAAATTAAACAGGTCAAAACAACTCAATTTGGGTATTGTCTTGTAACGTAAAATCTTAGCTTCTGGTGTAAACAGGTCACTTCTTACATTGGGGCTGGACCAAAGCGTTCGCGATTGGTTATCACCCTCAAGGGGGTAGTCCTTACCGCACATACTGTCCCACAACAGGAATGCCTCACCCAGTCCCCTTCGAGAGGTGGATTGTTGTAAGAGGGACTGGGACAAATCATTTTCCTCCCTCCACCTTGTTTGCGGGGATAGAACACAACCATCCGTTCTAGTGGTATAACCCTCTTCCCTTCATGTCTCGGTAAGCCTGGATCCGGGGGTACAGTGGTGCCCCGCATAGCGAGGTTAATCCGTTCCGGATTAACCCCCGCTATGCGGAATCGTCGCTAAACGGGTAGGGGAAACGTATTGAAACGCATTAAACTTAGTTTAATGCGTTCCAATACCTTGCTTACTTACCCGTTCAGCGGGGATTCCCCTTGCCGGCAGCCATTTTCGCGCCCATCAGGGGCTAGGTGTTCCTCCCACAATCCTCTAGTGTACAGAGGATTAGCATATGGTAATTCCTTACGGTAATACCTGTGCACTAGAGGATTGTGGGAGGAACACCTAGCTAATGCTAGGTGTTCCGCCCACAATTAGCATAAAGTATTAGCATATGCTAATACCTGTGCGCTAGAGCAGTGGTCCCCAACCTTGGGCCTCCAGATGTTCTTGGACCACAACCCCCAGAAGCCTTCACCACCATCTCTGCTGGCCAGGATTTCTGGGAGTTGAAGTCCAAGAACCTCTGGAGGCTCAAGGCTGGGGACCACCACGCTAGAGGATTGTGGGAGGAACACTTAGCCCCTGATGGGGGTCCTGCAGGGCACCCCACAACACTGAGGAACTGTCTTGGCCTCTGGCAGTACTGGGGTTGTGCAGCCCTGTACTGAGTGGGAGGTGTACCCAGGCGGTCACCATGACTTGGGGGGTTAGGGGACAGAATGGGGTAGGAGATTCAAGGGCCATTCTAACTTATTCCATGGAGGGGAAATGCCATGTCATAAAAGTGGTTTTCCCAGAGGAGGCTCATCCATTGTGCTTTGGGTGTGCTGCTGATCCCTGTGATTTCCCTAAATGTGGGGAACTCAGCTGCATAATTTAAGTTAATGAGGGGATTATATTTATTGTTTCCCTGTTTTTCTACAACCTGTTTATCCTTTGGTTTCTGGCTATTTTCACCACTCTCTATCATTTAAATTTGCAACCATAGCCCCATTGGCAATGCTTTGCAAGATGGTTCCCCCCCCC